AGGAGTTACTAGCACACACATACAAACTTTCACATTTTTGATAGAAGTTTGATCTAACAGACGTGTGTATAAAAAAAATCTTAGAACATGACACTTTTCAAAAAAAAAAAAGTTCACAAACCCGCAACATTTTTTAAAGGCCTATCCAACGACACACCACACTATGGGGTAGACAAGAAAAAAAAACATACCCACTTTACGTGTAGAGGAGATTTTATGTTACCTCTTTATATGCGTGACTAATGTGTATATCCATGCCAAATTACAGCTTTCTAGTACTAAGTGTCTCTGAGCTAAGCTGCGGACAGACGGACGGACCGACGCGCGGACCGACGAACGGACATGGCGAAACTATAAGGGAATCCTTGTTGACTACGGAACCCTTAAAATACGTCCCGACTTACATTTGTTATCTATTTAAAAGGTTGAACTCCAGTTTTATTAACTTATCCATTTGTTTCAGTTAACACAAACCCCTTCAATACTTTTAAGACGCTGACCTGGCGGTGTCCTTTACCAACAATGATTGACTTAGCTTTCGGATTACAACCGACCTAGAATATATCAGTGTAATCTTCAGTTACAAACATTAATCCCATTAATCATCACAAACGTTGAAAGTTTAGAGTATTATGTTACTTTTTGATATAATTATCTCAAATAATAAATTATTTCATACACGCAAGAGTAATTTTCAATATTACATTATGAAATACTACCTACTACGTACCTAGTTTACTTTAAAGATAAATAGATCTTTATAATCAAAAACACAGTATAACCTGTTTCGTTACAAATGATATCTATACTAAAGTAAAACCTTTGAATTAAAAAAAAAGAACAAATCTGATCAGAACCGCATTCCCGACGAACTGAACGCACTGATCCATTCAAGTTAACGACTTCAAAATGCTTATCTATTATACAATATACCTACATATATACATATACAATAAATTTTCATATATATTTTAATGTGAACAAAGCCATCTAAGTCAAAATTCTCTCCATCTCCATCCATCTAAGTCAAATGATGTTCTCCTGACCGATTCCGGCCACGGCGGCCAATCTCATTGAGACGAGTCAACTGCGCAGGAGATATTATAGTGCACAAGTGTACGCGCAGACACAGGTGCACTCTCTATTCCTGTCACTCTTATACTTCCGTGGGACGACCACTCGACACGACCAGTGAGAGTTAAGGCGCAGGACCGACGGCTTTACGTGCTCTCCGAGGCACGGGAGTGAAACACCGTAAACTTCCCAACTCCGGGCTGTTACTGAGGCTTACTATACAGAAAGACTCAATAACTAAACTTGGCCCGACCCGGGACTCGAACCCAGGACCTCCGGGTGTGCAGCCGTACATGCTAGCCACTACACCACCGAGGCAGTTGATCTGGCCTAATAGGGAATATGCGTGTGATTTAAATAAAGGTGGATTAATATATATTTTTATAATCTTTATTACATTTGAATTAAATCTGTATTAATATTTTTTAATGTATCATAATAGAACGATTAGCGATTTTGTTGTCACTAGTTTGCTACAAATTGAATCGTCATTTCTCTGTTTATATCATACTGTAAAGTCACGCCAAGCGCGCGAAATGCCGAGCGTTTAAAGTATCCGTATCGGTACGATATTTAAAAAAAAATACTAAATTTTAGTTTTTTTGATTTTGTTATCTTTTACTTATATAACAATATAAGCTATTGTATAAAAATTTAAAAAAAAAAAACATTACGCATATTCCCTATTACCATTCACTAAAGACTAATATAATACTATATCCAAAAAATCATACTTGAAATGCAATTTTACATATTATATATTCGCATTCTTCTCGATTCAACAGTTAATTTTACCTTGTCAAGTACAAAGTGCCTACTGTTTTATCCCGTTCGTCAAAGGCACGGTGCCAGAAACCAGTTCATTGAAGCTATCAGGTTACTCTTGGCGATATAGGTAGAGATACCATAATGTGTTAATAACATTAGACTTACAACGCTCGTGCATTGCTACAGTTGAAAACTAACTAACTTTATTGGCAACCAAAAGTGCAGGATTATTTTCGACGTTTCCATATTGTTATTTTATGTAAAACATAAGATACCTACCATTCAAAAATTTAAACACTTTTAACCGCATTCCAAAAAGGAGGAGGTTCTCAATAATTCGTCGGAACTTTTTATTTTTTTATGTATGTTCACCGATTACTCGAAGACGCCTGAACCGATTTGTATTTTTTTTTGTTTTAAAGGGTACTTCCCGGGTGGTCCCATATAAATTTTATCGAAATCGGTCGAGCGGTTTTTTTTTTAAATCAACAATAAATTATTTTTTAAATAAATTGTTTAATCGAATACGTTATTAAAAAACTTTCTTCTTACAAATTACCTGCTTATTAAGTCTACACTAAAAATGGAAAAATAAAAACTTAAAAAAATAAAAACCGACTTCCAGGCAGTAAAATGTAAAAAATAACTAACCGGAGGTTTTCATTTAGAATAGAGATCTAAGTCAGTGCCAACCGATGCAAAGCAAATCTAAATTTCGATACACAACCAAGAGGTTGCTTCAACGATCTACTCTGCTCTCAGAGAAGAACGTGGAGCAACTAACATGGCACACCCACCCACCGAAGTGGGCCGCCTCCCAGTGCGTTTCTTGGTTTCACGCCCGGTTGGATTGCCGGACACTCTCCTACCACGATAAGGTGAACGACAAGCGAACCATCCGTATTTACTGCAAAGTAAGTTACTTAAAAAAAACACTTATTAAAATTTACATAGACTTTATAAGTTTTAAGATAAAGTTTTTAAGAAAGATATGTTTTTCTTTCTAAAGAAGTGATAACATGATTTCCTTTATTAAATCTATCAATGTCATGATCTTCAGACATTTCGATGTTGGAGAATATTTGTTATTTATAATATTGCTTATAGAAAAAGGAATATCACAATAATTTTAGGTCTATTGCGTTTCAATAGCTAGTTGAAAAATTTTCAAAATTCATTGAAATTGTAATTTTGAACAATATGTAAAAACGAATTTCACAAAATCTAGATGTGATAGCTAAAAACGGACAACGGGAGGAAATTCGAAGCATCGAAATCTCCGAAGTAGTGATAATTTTATTTGAAGGAAGTATTCATTGCAAGCCAGTGTTATCAATCAGCTGTTTTACTAATGATACTACAAGGATAGTTTGTGGATTACTCATCTTCTTGACATATTTAGATTGATTGAGGTGTTAGTTACAACGATCAATTTCATACGTTTATAATATAATTAAAAGCATGTTACAATTTTTTATAACAATAAATATATTCCCGACACACAAATATCTCTTAAACGGACAGACAGACAGGCGGACGGACAACGAAGTGATCCAATAAAATCCCTCCTCTTTTCCTTTTGAGGTACGGAACCCTAAAAATAATAAATAATACATAATAGATCAATATTTTTGTTGACCCTTTATTATGATAATGACAATTTAAAATAAAATTATCATAATCATAAGCATTCTAAACGTCGATAACCTAAAATCAAAACAAATCCGCGAAATAATCCGAAAAGATGGTTTTCTTTAAAATGTCAAATATCCGCGTAAAACTAAGAAAATATTATGATAATGACCATTCATTTTATATGTAGGGTGGTTTTTAAATTGTCTTTATAAAAGTTCAACATACAATCAACTTTCTTACAAGACAACATGGCATAAGTGTATAAAGAAAGACTATACGGTGTACATTTTGCTTTTTAGGTCACGACGGCATAAACCGGCTATAGGTAGTATTGGATGGCTCCGCTCAAACCATTCTACCTTATTCATTGACCGTGGACTTTTCAAATCAGACCGATTCACTTCAACTTGAGATGATTACTATTGTTGTTACATAAAATGCTAGCGATTAGTTCAACTTGTTATATTCTAAGTTTAATCATGTCAAACTAAACATCAAAACCATTATACACTGGCTTGCGACCTAAAGACGTTTTATTTTTCTATTACAATTTCTTATTTTTACATTTCATATTAGCTCTAACTAATATACTCTTCATTGACCGACTTCCAAAAAGGAGTAGGTTCTATGTTCGTCCGCATGTATTATTTTTTTGTAAATGTCCCTATAAAACGTAGTTTGATAGGTCTGCTGTAAGCCAAGTTCTTATCATATAGAAGTGTCAAGAAATAAAGATCGACATTTCAAGTTTCAGGTTCTACTCTACCTCGGAGATATCACAATCTAATATATAAATATCTCGTGTCACGGTGTTGTGGTCGCACTCCTCCGAAACGGCTCGACTAATTTTAATAAAATTTATTTTGTATATTTAGTAGGTTATAAGAATAGGTCGTAAAGTACTTTTACCCTCCTACCCCCACCCCCATTTTTAATTCACGATTTTAGTATTTTTGTATGAACAATATCCAAATAATTTAACCTTTAGCTACTGACGTGGCTTTTATTTTACGTAAGCACCGACGTGGGGGCTTGAGAGGCCCGTAACCTAATATGATTTTTTTATGAATTAAAAGGCTTTATTGGTATATATAATTAATAGTTACGTTAAATACGCGTATATTAATAAAATAATCTGTATAATCTAATATTTTTTATTTAAATGAGATTTATTTTTGACAATTAATATAGAGTTAACATTTTTTTGGCAGAAATTACTTGACATCATCATCTATATTTTAAAATTTTAAACAAAGTAAACAAATTAACTTATATTATAAAACTTCAATAGTGTCTCTATAAACCTAATAATGAACTATCATACTATAAGCCAATTAAAAAACTGCAAGGCACCTATTTTCAGAAATTATGCACAATCTGCCTTTGCGCATTCAAGGCAAACATGTTTTTTACACAAGTAACATGTGTGTATAGACTTCTTCTGAAGCTTGTGCGGATACACGAGGCAACTTTTCATTTGTTTCAGCTCTTCTTCTTGAACGTCTGAACAGTCAGGCTTATCAGATTAGGCAGGCAGACAGTCTTTCGTCCAAAACTCTTCTTATGATATTATATTGCAACACCAAAGTGCGAGCCAATTCTTTTATAAAAATTCCTCTTTCAGTAACCTTTTCGCGATGTATGTCATACAATAAGTGACTATTGACAGAGCTGATATCTAACATGCGGTAAAAAATAACCGTCGTTGGTGCATCTATTTGTACCGATATTTCCGTAGTAAAACTGTTATGATGACAGTAGAACTGCGTCTTCAGAGAATACTTCTTGCTAATCTTGTTCTTCAGTTGAATCTGTATCATGTTCATGTTGCTCGGGAATAAGCAAGACATCGATATCTTCTGCCTTTGAGCCTCTAAAGTCCCCACAATATGTCCAGGAAAATACAGCTGACTCAAAATCACATTACCAGGCATAACCTATCTTCTAGTTTTAGAAAAATGTGGGCTATCATCGGTATTGGTTGTCCGTTTTTTTAAGGATGAGGTGCTGGGTTCCATTTTAATCAACTACTGAAAAAAAAAGACAAAATATGAACCAACGTAACTTTTGAAAAAAGTTACGTAAATACTGATGTGGGGTCAGGGAGGCCCATAAAATTTTTTGAAATGAATTTACTTACCACAATTGCGCGTGCGGGCACTTACACCACTACTCACGACCTCTAAATGACTAAACTCGAAGCTACTAGAAACACCGTATGCGTCGAGTAGGGGAGAGGGGAGTAATTCGAAAATATTTATTTCGCTGGGCCTGAGCGACCCCCACGTCAGCAGTTAAAGGTTAATATAAATACATAGGGACGAACCCGAGCGGAGCGAGGGTGGGTCGTTATCCATACATATAATTAAATTGTAAATAAGTCAAATCTGTATATTAAATAATTTTTTGAAAATCTTATTGAAATAAACATTTTTATCGATACAGAGACCGAATCTATCGTTTTTAGAAATTTTGTCTGGCTGTCTGTTACCGTATCACGAAAAAACCACTGGAGGTATTTTGATGAAATTTGATATGATGATAGCTGGTTATCCGGGTCAACATATAGGAAACTTTTTACTGCGGGAAAATATCTCATCTCTAAAAAATCTATACTAAAATCGTAAGTAGGGACGAACCCGAGCGAGGCGAGGCTGAGTCGCTAGTATAACCTAAAGCAAAAGTTTTTTCTTTTTGTAGTTTGAAAACGGGCGAAGCCGCGGGTTGTGCTTGTAACGCTATAATAAATTTAAAGCGTATGTACTATGAAATAGTGAAAAAGGTAAATAAGAGAAAAAAAATATGTTCCTCCAAGTTATTTTCACGATAGCGGGCTATTTCAAGGGTATCTTTAAAAATATACATACATGCGAAGCCTTTAAGCTAGTATAATAATATATGTACATAATAAATATAAAATATCTTTTTGTTATGCGATATGATAGTTATAGTGATACTGGGTGATATATGTTATTTATAAAATCTATCTTAAAATCTATATAAATAAAAATGAATGTTGGTAAGCGCATAACTCAAGAATGGCTGGACCAATTTGGATAATATTTTTTCGTATGTTCCTTAAGGTTCACGGAAAGTTTTAATAAAGAGAATAGATGAAAAATTAACGAAAAAAAAATTATATGGCTAACGCTGGCTAATACCTATTTATATCTATTAAAACATACCTAGCGACGAACCCGAGCAAAGCGAGGGTGAGCCGCTAGTATTTAAATAAAAGTAATAATAAAGATTATCATTAAAAGTTTGGAAAGACAAACATCATGTATATGAGTATAGTATTCAAATGTACACAGGATTCTGGGAAAAAATAATTTGTGTACAATTAAACCGTATCTCTTATCAAGAAGCCACAGTAAGGTTGAGCTATAAATTGAAAATGACGTAAAGCTATCACGAAACAGACTGTTTGAATTCCAATGAGTTGGTACATTAACTCACATATATGATTCAGTTTTAAACGACTTGGATGTGAATTGGTTTTTATTTATATTTCACTTATCATCAAGGTCGGGATTCTATAGGTATTATTAAATGACCATGATTTTTGAACAAGAGAAACACAAAGATTTCTAATTTAAAAAAAAAACTTCATAAAAGAAAAATAACATAATTCTTTGTTCTCAAAAGTATCATTATATCGTATCAAAGAGAACGAAAATTATCAACCGATTTTATTATAGCTGAAAATGTGGTTTATAAATCAACAAAAACCACATTTGCAAAATGGAACGTATTCAGCCCTTTTTAACGTCCCACTGCTGGGCACGGGCCTACGATATACACGCATATACCATATACGACGCAATACGATGGGGATCAGGCCATAGTCCACCACGCTGGCCAAGTGCGGGTTGGCGGACTTCACATGTCTTTCAAAAACTTGGTAGGTTTTCTCAGACATGCAGGTTTCCTCACTATGTTTTCCTTCATGGTTAAGACAAGTAGTAATCATGTTGGGAATGATTCGCACATGAAAATATCAGAGGTGCGAGATCCGGGATTTGATCCCGCTTCACTCGGTTTCCCAAGCGAGCACGCGCTCCACTGCGCTACCACTGCCTTTTTTGCAAAATGGAACATTTGTATGTAACTCCTTCACTGTAACAAAACCGACTGTGACTAATATAACATAACCTTAATGACAAAGGTTGATTTACAAAGTGTTTGCCCCAACATGAGGTCGAGCCCCAATTTCACTGACACATCTCCAGCACGTAATATTACGACGAGCGCATATCAAGAAGGCACCTAGAACTTCCTACAAACTTCGCTAACAACTAGTAAGTTATTGACGAATAACGATCAGAATATCTATTTATAATAGAGATTACTTTGGGAATTTGTAGAGAAGACGAAAAACTTATACAAGATATAGATTCATGTAGGCTTCACTGAGCAAAAATATAACTTAGTTTTTTTTTTAATTAGCGTCTCTTAAGTAGTAAGAGTCCCACTTTCTAGTCCAGCTTTATAAATCCTATTAGTCACCCATTTAGTTAGGTTTAATATACATATATGGCATAGTATTGCATAAAGTATTATATGTATAATATATTATATGTATAATATATATTATGTTCGCAACGCCGCCTACATTTAAGCGAGTTTAACAACTGCAAATTTCGAGTACATCACTTAAATAACACAAAAATATTGATATTAATTAGATTATTTAGTTTAATTATTTAAACAAATTTTAAATTAATAAAAATAAATATGATACATATTATATGTATAAAAACGTGTGTAGAGTCTCTGTTGTACTATACTACTACTTTAATCTAAAGGTAAATTATTATAAAGTTCTGAGTCGAATCTGTACTTTACATATTTTTTTGGAAAATCTTATTGAAATAGTAATTATTATTGATACAGAAGTCGAAGCAATAGTTTGTAAAAATGTTGTTTGTGTGCCTGTCTGGGAATGAATCACGAGTAAATCACTAGACAGATTTTGATGAAATTTGGTATGATGATAGCTGATTATCCGGGTCAACATTTAGGATACTTTTTACTGTAGAAAAATATCTCATCTCTGAGAAATCTATAATACTATCCCTTAAAACGTACCAAGTGACAAACCCGAGCGGAGCGAGGGTGAATCACTAGTTTTATTATAAAAACAGCAATCTCATTACTCTAACAAGAGTAATAATTTATTTATAAGCAAGACATCACTTTAAATTCCCTGAAACAAATGTGGTTCACCGACGCTATCATCAACTTACCTCACGTTGGCATTTTTTAAATATTTTGAATTTCATTGTAACACTATACAATCGCACATATAACACAGAACATACATAAAATGTACCATAAAGTCAAGGTCACAGATAAATAATCGGAAACCGCGCAAAAATAGCGGGAACGATAAGGGGTGTGTAAACAAACAAAACGTCCGACGAGCGTCGCGACTCGCCGCTTAGTGTACGGCATACGCTAACACTTAGTCGAGTCTCTACTATGTAACTCTACTATAGTGCAGACGGTCGCGGGCTGCCGCGGATAGCGCGGGGAAGAATTATTATGTACACAAACTATAAATATCACACGCCATTTCTTAGTTTTAACTGATGTGTCTTCGGTTAGTTATAATTTTCATTACGGTTTTGGTTCATAGTTTTAATTTGCGATATACTTAGAAGCCTCGAATCATAAATATAATGGGATAAAGCTTTATTGGTGACCTCATAAAAAGAGAACTTTTTTATGTATGTTACGCGAAATCCTACTGCGAAAGACCAAAACTGCGAAATCTTTTTGGACTTATTTAAATGGCACGCTAAGGAAGTTATTATAAATTTGAAGTCTATATTATTTGTCATTTAAAAATTATACTTATCTTTATTTTGTACAAAAATGTAATTGTTATGAGTTTGCAAAAAATATCCAAGATAAAAAAAGAATTTCATTTAAAAATGTAGAGTTTCATATTTAAATGTATTCAAATATTTTTCAATTTCGAAAATAAGGTAAGGAACACTGTAAAACAAGATAAATAATAAGTAGAGCGCAACGGATATTGAAACATTTAAGACATTTTTTTTTTAAATCAAACAACTGGCCTTGTTTCGGTAAATATGCATATAAAAGCGGAAGGACCGAAATACATACATAATTTAAACGAACGACAACACATTTAGATTAACCAAAAGGAATAAACGAATGAAAAATTAGTTGTTGTTCGACATAAAATATGTATCTATGTACGTATGTATGTATATTTGTATATGTGTATATTTATATTATAATTAATGTTTGTAGTTCGTACCTACACCTACACATCTTTATTATTTTTATATTTTCTCACGCTCGAGGGTTTCTGGTAGAGATCTCTTAAAGAAATTTGTTTTCACTTTTATATTCTTTTTTTCTGGTACATAAATAAATAAATTAAGCAGCGTATGCCTAATTTATAATATCATCTAGACTCTAGTTGACTACCATCATAGGACAGTAGCGAATGTCTTTGATAGACGTCTACTGTCAAAGTTTGATTCCCGAGCGGGATAATTGTAACTACTGACCGTACACATATATGTCTCGGCAATAAATAATAATGCCAGTCTCACTGAGACTAGTCAGATGCGCAAAAGATATTATAATTTCTTCCTAAATCAGTAAAAACTGAGAAAATTATAACAAAAAAAACAGTAGGTACTTTAATTAGCCAGAATCGGTACCCGAATCCAGGACCTTAAGCTTTGCAGCCGTGCAAACTAGCCTCTAGGTTAAAACAAATGGTTATAATAATGTAAAGCGAAAAATATAGTATTTATATAATTCCTTGGATACGTCGCAAGAGAAAAACCTGAAGGTAACAAAAGTTTTTACAAACAATGTAACTAATAGAAGATCAAAAGTCATTAACTATTAATATATGAGGAATATATACATAAAAACGATTTTACTCCCACTAGATAAATACACGTTTACATCGTTTTTTCTTAAATTAATAAAAATTATTTATACGAGTATAGATACTTAATATAAAACATACCTCATGGTCTGGTCCGGGTTTTGATGCTAGCCTTACTTCTGTTAACTGATTCTTCAATGCCCTAGGGAATAAAAAAATATTACTAAAACTATAATAACATATATATATATGTAAAAGGAAGTTTTCTTCTAAGAAATGACTAAATAATCGAAAGAGACAGTTTTAACCAATTTATATTCTATTACATTCAACAAGAAAAGAACTTGTTTTTGCCTTCCGTAAAAATATTATATAAATTAAAAGATAATAATAATCCAATAGGTAGTCAATATTAATTAAAAATACACAATATAATAGCCGTCAACAAAGTTTACATATTATATCAAAGGGGGAAAAAGTTTTCCTTAAAAATTAGCTTCCCGCACTACATTACACTATGGGAAAGAACGGAAAAAACATGTCTGTAAAAAAGCCAACTATATGCAACGTGTTCTTTTAAATTAGTCACTACATAACTACTAGGTTAGAAGAAATACTAGATTAACTGATATTATCAACATATTAAATTGCTATGTTTTACATCTTTGTAACCCGCCATAGATCACTTTGACGTCACATTACTATCCTCCTCATTTAGTGGAATAAAAATATTTTGTAACACTCCATCCCCATCCAATTTTTTTTTATAATAAATAAACATGACCGTTGCATGGTTACTGTTTCCCAAAAACGAAGCGACAAACACATTTATTTTATCAATAAGAATAATAGTTACAATAAACAAAATTTTATAGCATATATTTGACTGTTTTAGTATAATACTATGACAGACAAACATACATACAAACAAAAAATCCAATACTAAATAAAACCTCTTTCTTTAGCTTATATTTAATTTCAAGCATTCCACTATTAACATTTAAATATAATAATTCTGTCTTGGATTTACGCGATTATTTGACCTTCCAAAAAAAAAAGAAAAAAAATTAAACTAGAAAAAAAAAAGTTTTTCTCATACTAGTACCGTATATTTTAATATGCTTGCATTACACAACTTTTTTTATTATTTTTACATTTTTATCTTCAAGGCGAGAAACCCTCCCCGTGTAAATACGGCTTATAATGGATATTTTGATGTTTTCGACAAACACTTGATATAATGGAATTAAAAAAGATGAGAAGCCAAATATATAGTTTTCAGGGTTATGATTTGTCTTTAAAATCGGGTATTCTCCGAAAAATATGGCACGATCTTCAATGAGTCACCCTCTTCCATACATATAATAAAATTGTAACTAAGCCGAATCTGTACATTAAATATTTCTTGGAAAATCTTATTGAAATAGACATTATTATCGATACAGAGGCCGAATCTATAGTTTTTAGAATTTTTGTCTGGCTGTCTGTCTGTTACCGCATCACAGAAAAACCACTGGAGGAATTTTGATGAAATTTGGTATGGTGATAGCTGATTATCCGGGTCAACATATAGGATACTTATTACCGCGGGAAAATATCTCATTTCTAAGAAAAAATACAAAAACTGCATTGTAAGAGTATACTAATATGTAAAACCTAAGAATTTGGTTTTTGGTCATCTGAACGCGGGCGGAGCCGCGGGCAATGCTAGTATTGTATAAATGTGAGAGTAAATGAAATACATTCTAAATTAAAGCTAAGCCGTTTCAACTAAATCCACAGTTACCGCTTGTACTGTCCGATGGAGGAGCTCCCATACAAATTACTTACGTATTTATTGCCCATTAGTGGGAATACATATTAACAATTTTGTTAATGTTAATTTAAATTAAAACACTGAAAAAATTAAACCTTTTTTAATCTTCTGTAAGTACTCTTCTTTTTTTTTGTTATTCAGATATTTTGTTTTCATATTTATATCGAAATTCAATACGCTCCAATTTTCAAGTACAACAAGCAATACGTGCATAAAGTAATCACTACATACATATATAAATTAAAATTCACCGCCGCGCTGACTTTATGTTTGTACGGATTACCATACTGTTTACACTAACAGAAAGAGAAATTATCTAGATAGATTATAGGCACCATTTATACCATCATTCATACCATTTTTTTATATGTACAATATAACAAAAATAAACTACCGGTATATTAATTGTGAATTAAGTTGGAAGAAATGCTTTCTGAGAAATTCCGTAATATTATGAAGACGACCGGGAATCTATATCTAAAATCTAGCAACGCTTGGATCAATGTTCCGAATAGTAGCCATAAGGGGTCATCTAGCCTAAACTATCTCAAATTTGAACCCGAGAATATAAGCTATGAAAAAAATTAAACAAAAAAATTAAACACGCCAAAATTAATAAAAAAGTCAGTGATGTCCACATACTCATTTAGAAAGAAACCTTACGGGCACATTAATGCAGTATATATGCACTTACATGTACAGTTCCTCCGCCTGCCTGGCCTGCTTCTCCCTGCGCTTGAGCAGCTCCGCGCAGTGCTGCACCGCGAGCAGCGCCGCGCTACACGTGGCCCGGATTGAGGCGCTCGTCGCACGCACCTCTTCTGTGTGCTGCTTTAGACCTACACCTGTTTAATATACATTAATAATAATAATAATCTTTCCTTAGGTATAGCCCCAATCTATACAAATAAATAAAATAGAAATGTCTGTTTGTAATGTCAAAATAATAGCTTTTTACTAAGTACATATAAAAATTATATGGTACTTATAAAAAAAATCTATTTCTAAAATTTTTGTTTGTCTGTTTGTACCGGCTAATCTTCGAAAATGCTGGACCTATTTTGATGGGACTTTCAGTAGTAGATAGCTGATGTTATAAGAAGTAGGGTTCCGCGTACAAAAAAAATAAACTCCATGAAATTTGTGATCAACATTCGTCTACCAAGGGACGCACTCGAGTAAAGCGAGGGTAAGTCGCTAGTTTATAATCATATTTATAATATAGTAACATATGTATTGTTATCACAAGTCAAAATTATTACTTTAACATCACTTATATATACATATGTAAACATGTCAAAACAAAACATTCTAAAAACATAATACATTCAAATTCTTCATTAAAATAAACTAAGATTAAAAATAATACATTAATGTTAGGTACATTACCGCTATCTATTTTTTATTAGCCTCCTGATGCACTGAAAGCCAAAACTTAAGAATTGAGCAGTCGTAGCAACATGACATAAGCATTTATTTATTTTTTGGGAAACAAATAATATTTGAAAAACTTACATAAAACACAGCACATACACCGATAAAGTTTCTACTATTATACATATCATATTAATGAGCAATCAGAAATGTGGAAAAAATGAGTAAAAAAATAATTTAACAAATACAATGATATATCACAGTCTACTAAACCTAGTCGTCTATATACTTAATTTTATATGACAATCGGGAAACGGCTCAGGGGCCATTCATTAATTATGTAAGGATGATTTTGACGATTTTTAAACCCCCTATCCCCATTTAAGGATACATAAGATTTCTCGAACATTTTCTTTAATTTTGTATAACTTAAAAAGAAAATAAATAAAATTCTTTAAAATGATGTGTATTTTATTATATTAAAAAAAAAAAGTAGGGCATGAAAATATTTTTTATAAACCAGGGAGGCTCAACAGAAGAAAGGTTGGGAAATCCTGTTCTATGTAATGATTAGGAATTAAAAAATCTCTGGCACCCTAATGACTTAGTAGTTACTGCTACTACACCTGATCTCTCAATAAGATTATTGGAGCCGTCCCACCGGACTTTGAGTGTGTTTTCGCACATACACCTATAATATTTCGCGCAAATAACCAGTTTCAACAAGAAAGTGCTATTACCGAAATCAGTACTTATAACATTTGTCATCAATCATTATAGAAAAGCGACATTCTAAATTATAATGCTATTAAAATAAAGTCATTTCATAACAATTTTAATTACAAATACATGTAATTATTTTTATATTCATAAGTATACTGGATGAACATCTGATTGACGATTAGATTATCCATCAAGACTGATAAATATTTGCTTATCACACACAATCATGTCCACTTTATATACAAAAGCTAACAAATCGACATACCAACACTTATAATATAACATTAGGTATTCAGCCATTTTTAACATCCCACTGCTGGGCCAATACGAGGGGAGTCAGACCATAGTCCACCAAGCTGGCCATGTGACGATTGGCGGACTGCACATATCTTTCGAAAACTTGTTAAGTTCTCTCAGACATGAGGTTTCCTCACGATGTTTTCCTTCACCGTAAGACAAGTGGTAATCATATTGGAAATGATTCGCACATGAAAATATCAGAGGTGCAAGACCCTGGTTTTGAACACACTTCAATCGGTTACCCAAGCGAGTGTGTTACCACTGGGCTACCACTGCCTTAAATTATCATTATAGATAATTAATACATTACCATCAGCAAGCTTCACAGCATCAATGGCCTCACAGGCATCATCATGTATCTGTGGGTAAGTTGACACACACATGTCAAAGTAATTCTGCAGTTGGAGTGCTTGTTTTGATAGTAACTCTGAGTATGTTTCCAATTCTGATATCTTCTCTGCAAGCCGACGTGATGTTCGACCTATGAAATTTTAATAATTAAATTGGGATAACCCATTAAGTGCCGCTGAATGACCCAAAATAAAATGTACTTTAAACTCAATTTCTGGCTCATAAACTATCTTTATGTAAAAAATCAATTTGTTTCATTGTTTTTTTTTAATATAATATATTTTTTTAATATATATGTAATACCATTTGAATTTGTCTGTTTAAATGAATATAATCAACAATATTAGACTCTCATGTAAACTGTCAAATTGTATTATGCATCATTCAGTATTGGAGATTTCTAACTAGCTGGTTAACAATGTTTCGCTAAACAATTTTGAACATGGCTGAAACTATTAAAAAATAGTGGTGAAAGGGTCAATGGTTTTTTTAAGAAAAATCTACATATATTTTTTCCAAGTTTTTTAAAATTGATTACCATGTGAGCCTGTAGACTGTAATGACGTAACTGAACCATGTCTCCGTAAACCACCCCCATTGGAACTGCTGTCGGAACTGGTACCATACCCTGATTCAACCTGAAAGTAAGTTTAATTGTATAAATTTACTAATTAAACAATAATGAAACAGTATATTAAAAGACAAACCAAAAATGAAATACTTCAACTATAGATCTCTCCTTATAATTAATTGATGTTTACCATTGCATTTTTTAAGCTTTTACAAAAAGCTTTTTATACAATGCAATATAACCAACACTTTGCTGGCCTAGCTTTTTCAAAATAATAGACATGACTTAAATTGTAGTATTGTAAATTTTTTAATAATCTACTTTGTAATTCTAAATACCATTATTTTAAAAATAAATTTATGTAAATAATCATAAAGAAAAATATTAAATATATCATTATTTTTTCAATAAACATTATTTATCATAATATGGTTATATCTGTATGATAAAACTGAACATATCATAAAATAGTGAGTTACTCTATAGCTGTTAATCTTATCAGGAATTTGTAGCTAAGCTTATTATAGTTATATACACATAAATGTATAGACTCATCAAAAAAATAAATAAAATTCATGTTTTTTTTTGTTTAATTATATGTATATAATGTTGTATTTTACAGAAAAACTGTAAGAAGTTACTTTGAATAATCACTTACAAAATTTGCATTTAGTTTGATGTTTTATGCTTGAAATTTTGTGATCATTTTAAAATAATAGTACTCACTTTGAATGATTCCAAGACATCAATCCATTGTTGTTTTTCTTCTGGACTCGTAGCTCTCAAATACCAAACACAATCATTAACTGATACATCAAATCTACAGTCATCAAATTCATGAGGCTGAAATAATATGTAATATGTATTATTACACATTGCTAAAAGTTTAAAAGTTTATCCATACAGCGTAAATAAACTACAAATAAATAAAATCTAAAGATAATAACATAAATAAGTGAACTGTGAAGCGAATAAAGTTTAGTGATTACATAAAAAAATATTATTAGTATTTCTAGCATTACTTTGTACACATACAGCTAAAGTAATAAAATACAAACGTGCGTCTATAGCAATTAATTTAAAGTTTGAAGAAGTTACGTACACAAGGACAAATTATTTTTTATGACAATTATTTTTGTCCCAGTGTTAAATCAATAATATATATATATATATATTTTATATTCACCTTGACTTTAGCTTTCTTTAAACATAGTGCACCACGACATCCAAGATTGCTTTCTAACTCGCTTTTGTAATAGGATAACGTAGAATCCTTCAAAACAATAAACCTATCCTGCCAGCCATGTATGTAGTTAGTCCATTTGCTTAAATAGCCACGAAGTTCTTGAGTACTAACATCTTCTAAATCTGAATTATCACTCACAGTATTATTTTCATCCGTCATATTTGAAACGTAATTTCGATCAAATATTTACAACAAAACAAAATAAAAGTATGGTACACAAACTTACTACACCTACAAAATGTTTCTAGGACAGATTAAAAAATGTTTTGTTTTGATGAATCAAGTGACAGTTTATTGTTAATGCGTATATGCGTAAAGCTAAGACACATTGTAAGAAATGAAAACAGAAAAAGAAAGAAGTGTCTGAATATCTTGATTAATTATTATTTAAAAAATAAAAAAAATGATTAAAAAGATATATGTAATCTATTTCGTTAAATAAAATATATTAAAAAATATATAAAATAAATGATAGTAAAATAAGTAAGAACTAATAGTCTGTGCATATTTTAACATAAAACTTAATCGATTACTATTCTCCTATTCCATTGGTAGATATTATGTTACCGCCAAAAATGTGTCTTTTACACCAATGAAAATTCTGCGATTACTACAAACACGCAATTTCCGTTCAAGATGGCCGACAAAACTATGCCTATATTTGTTCCATCAGAAAAGCCTTTAAAAGTCGTAAAATGGAAAGCTAAAGAAGGTGCTTTTGTGTCATATGGTCAAATATTATTTTTATACAGCGATTCATCAGGCAAGAATAGTGAACTAAAGAAATTTAAGTCGACTCGCGCTGGTACTATTGTAACCATCAAGGTGAAAGAAGGAGACGTCGTAGAGCCTGGGTAAGTGACGTCATATTGTATTTAGATACTTTTAATGGTCTCATCGTTTTTATAATGAAATGGTACTTTGAACATTATGATTATTATTTTGAATCAATAATAAAATTGAAATAAATAAAGCAATAAACAATGCTAGTTTAAAGCTAAACATTAGTGGTAAAGTTCTTTTAATAAGCGCGCCAAAATTAGGTTGTTATTGTTTTATCAAAAATTTAACCTATGTATCTAATTAATTATTTTTTTATATTTTTCAGAGGATGTATAGCAGATTTAGAAGGATGTCGTCATCCAACGGTAATGAAAGAAATGTGTGCAGAATGCGGTGCCGATTTACGCGTCGACGAGGTTCAAATACATGACGCTGCAGTGGTTCCTATGGTGCATTCTGTACCAGACCTGAAGGTAAATGAAGATTAATACTAACGTTTTTAGTATTGATTATGAATAATGTATTTAAAGTACATCGTATATCATTAATTACAACTTAAACCTCAGTAGTTTTATAACCTTATTCAGGAGGTATGTTTAATATTTTTCAGGTATCTGGAGAGTTAGCCCAAAAGTTAGGCAGAGAAGATGCTAATCGTTTGTTGAAGGATCGCAAACTGGTTCTCCTTGTTGATCTTGACCAAACATTAGTCCACACTACCAATGATGACTTACCTCCCAATTTGAAGGTAAATATTTCATGTTTAATAAATTTGAAAATTATTTAATTTTTGAAACGTCATGACAAAAGATTTATTTTGTAGAATTTTTTATTATAATGACCTGAATTTAAAAATTTACATCAATGCTAACATACCTCTATTAAATTATAATCATAAAAATAAATGCTGCTTATATTGTAATAATTGGAGAGACAACATAGTAGACAATAAAATATGATAAAATCATCAAAATATAAAATTAATAAATTCAATGTAATTTCTTTTACAGGGAGTATTACATTTTTTCCTCCGAGGTCCAGGTAACCAAGGGAGATGGTGTCATACAAGACTTAGGCCAAAAACAGAAGAATTTTTAGAGTCTGCATCAAAGAACTATGAACTGCATGTTTGTACATTTGGAGCTAGGCAATATGCACATGCGATTGCAGAGCTATTAGATCCACAAAAAAAGTACTTTTCACACAGAATTTTATCTAGGGATGAATGCTTTGATGCTAGAACAAAGTCTGCTAACTTAAAGTAAGTTTAATTTTTACTTTTTCTTAACTTTTATCTAATATTGTGTATGCCGTGATTGTCTGTAAGTGGAGAAGCATTAATGTACTAATAGTATATTTTAATTATTCATGTAATAATATGTTTTCTGTTGACAATCCTAAATAAATAAATAATTATTCATATGAGTAAGATATTATAAAATGGAGTATTGATTAAAAGAAACCTCATACTTTTTTCTATATATTTTATTTACAAACAGAAACAATTTTTAAAATCAATGTCTTAATCTATACATATAATAAAATTGTAGCTTAGCCGAATCTGTACATTAAATATTTTTTTGTAAATCTTATTGAAATAGACATTATTTTCGATACAGAGGCCAAATCTATAGTTTTTAGAATTTTTGTCTGTGTCTGTTACCGCATCACAGAAAAACCACTGGAGGGATTTTGATGAAATTTGGTATGACGATAGCAGATTTAGTATGACATAGGATATTTTTTACTGCGGGAAAATATCTCATTTTTGACAAAAAATACAAAAACTGCAATGTAAGAGTAGAGAGTGCAATGTATACTAATATGTAAAACCTAAGATATTGGTTTCTGGTCACCTGAACGCGGACGGAGCCGCGGGACAAACTAGTTTATTTATAATAAAGCTTTTCAAGTACTATGTAAGCATTCTTTTAGTAATTTTTGATGTCTTTACACAAAATAATGGTATTAGTGTGTATATTAATCGTATTAGAAAATTATATTAGTTTATAGTGATTGCACTTTAATCAAGCGAGTTGCTATATCATGTATCATCACTATAATTTTTTTATATACCCTGCCCTAAAATCTGCAAACAAAATACTCAAATGGTGCATTTATGATTGTTTTGTTTTCTCATAAATTTTTTAGAGACTATCTAACATTGTCTTCATCTATTCTATAGAGATAAATAAAATTGAAGTATCTGTTTGTAATTTCAAAATAACAGCTTTTTATGAAATGCATATATGGTACTTATAAAGAAAAACATAACTTTTAAAATTGTTGTCTATCTGTATGTTTGTTCCGGTTAATCTCTGATACGGCTGGGCTTATTTTGACGGGACTTTCACTGTCAGCTGTAATGTTGAAATAACAGCTTATTACTAATTGCATATGGAATTATTTGTACCGTATTTATAAGAAAAAACTCATTTTTTTAAATTTCTGTCTGTTCCGGCTAATCTCTGAAACGGCTGGGCCTATTTTGACGGGACTTTCACTGGTAGGAAGTTGATTTTATAAGGAGTAACTTAGGCTACTTGTATTTCAGTAAAAGACTTAGGGTTCCACACAAAAGATTAAATGTATGTAGTACATATTGCTAGTATTAAATAAATACGTATATACTGTTTTCCTTTTCCAGAGCCTTATTCCCTTGTGGAGATAACATGGTTTGCATAATAGATGACAGAGAGGATGTATGGAGGCATGCAAGTAATCTAATACACGTCAGGCCTTATTCATTCTTTCAGTGCACTGGAGATATTAATGCACCACCCCCTTTATGTAAGTATCCAATAGCTTCATATTAAAAACAAGGTTTTTAAAATTACATTTGCATTGTGATTGAACTGGTATGTCAATAAAAATGTTTTCTGAATTTCACCAAAATTAATAAAGGATTTTCACACATATTCACAAATTTTGGCATTTGTAGTATTTTAAATGATATACACTATTATTTAAAAAAACAATTAGAACAAAACAAATTATTAAACATGGATCCTTCTTACAATTTTTAGTGTACAAGTTGTATTCATAAAAAAACAATAATAATATAAACTGCAACTGCAATTATATTTCTTAATTCTTCTTGATCCTTTTGAATGCATTTAAAATGTTAATAATTTTTGGTATGAAGATATTGGATTGAGATACATGTTTCAAATAAAACATATTGTAACATCTCTTACAATCCAGATATTAATGTCTTTCTGAAGACTTCCTTTTTTCAAGCTTTTAAAGGAGGACAGATACGAAGACAACATTAAATTAATATTATATTTAGTATAAAATTATTGTTATTTTCCCATATAATAATAATTATATAATATTATTTCCAGTTATCACGGCTGAAGAAAAATCTAGACTGCCATCCGGTAAAAATGGCTCGCAACAACCAGTGAGCAATCAAATGCCCTCATTAGATATTGGACCTGACAAAGAAAATCAAGAAACAAAAATAGAACAGAGTGAAGTTAAATTGGTTGAAGGGGATAACGGAAAGGTTATTACAAAAGAGAACAAAACAGACAGTAACGACAAGAAAAAAACAAAAGAAGATGAAGATGCAGACAAAAATGAACAAAAAATTAATGTAGATGAAAAATTAGATGATGACAAGAACGAAGGCAAACGAAAAACTATAGAAGATGCAAAAGTTAAAGATAAAAATGTAGAAGTTCTTAAAAAAGATGAAATAGAAGTTGATAATGAAAAAAATCAAAAAGAGGATCATAAAGCAAGTGATAATGAAAAAAATATTGCAAATAATGATAAAGCTGATGTTATAAGTTTATTACCTTATAATGAAAGTGAACAAGAAAAACCAATGATTAACCCCAATGTGCCGGTGTGGGTAGAAACTGCTGATGGGCAGATAGAAGTGGAGGATGCAGATGATTATTTAATATATTTGGATGATATATTAAAAAGAATACATAAGTGAGTTCCTTTTACATATTTTTTATAAACTTAAGAATTTGTCTTTGCTGCTTTATATATATATCATTAACTGCCTCGGTGGTGTAGTGGTTAGCATGTACGGCTGCACACTCGGCGGTCCTGGGTTCGAGTCCCGGGTCGGGCCAAGTTTAGTTATTGAGTCTTTCTGTATAGTAAGTCTCAGTAACAGCCCGGAGTTGGGAAGTTGGCGGTGTTTCACCCCCGTGCCTCGGAGAGCACGTAAAGCTGTCGGTCCTGCGCCTTAACTCTCACTGGTCGTGTCGAGCAGTCGTCCCACCGGAGTAGAGAGTGACAGGAATAGAGAGTGCACCTGTGTCTGCGCGTACACTTGTGCACTATAATATCTCCTGCGCAGTTGGCTAGTCTCAATGAGATTGGCCGCCGTGGCCGGAATCGGCTAGGAGAACATCATCATCATATATATATATATGATGATGTATATATATATATATATATATATATATATACCTTATGATATTGCTTTGGTACATAAAAATGTTTACGTTCGAGAATCGAAGTCGCGGTATCTGGTGCTCATAGCCATGCAACCATCAATATTATGTTATTTGGTATAAGAATTTGGGTAGATCTCTAAATTTTTATTAATAGTTAATTAGAAGAAAATGTTTTTATATCAATTTTGGTGATATGTTATATGTGTGCCAAGTATAGATTCGATGTGTGAATTGGAAGTATTAACTTGAATATAATATTATTAAAAATGGGGTATGTGTGGGGATAGATGGCACTGTAGTGAAGTGGTAAAAATTAAAAATGTATCTTTATTAATTATGGATCAATATGACTTGTACAATATTATTTACAATTGATTTACTAAAAATTTGACAAATCTCTGAACTGTATAATATGTAGCACTGTGGTTAAAAAAAAGGAAAATTTTATATTCTGCAAAGTACAAAAAAAAGGTATGTAAGAAGAATTAGTTAATCATAAATATATTGTTTTACAGAGAATTCTATAATATATATGATAGTATGGGAAAATATCAAATACCAGACCTTAAGTTTATAATACCTGAAGTAAAAAGCAAAGTGCTGGCTGGTGCGAGTTTGGTGTTCAGCGGGCTGGTGCCTACTCACCAGAGATTGGAAACTTCGAGAGCTTACCAAGTAGCTAGAAGTTTAGGAGCTGAAGTCACTCAGGACTTCACTGAAAAAACTACTCATTTGGTTGCAGTTCGTTCAGGTATGGAATGTTTTACTTCAGTTAAATCTTACTTAATATTTTAATGCTCAGTATAACACAAAAATACTGTTTAATAATAATAACAAATAATGTTGAGACATTAACACACAGCACCATCTAGTTCTATGGTAAGCTATGAGGCTTGTGTCATGGATAGCAGATAGTTGATATACTACACATATATAACTTTAAATACATATTATAATACATACATACATATTATAAATATAAATACCCATGACTGGAATACAAACATTCATGCTCAACACACATATGAACGCCCAGCGAGACTCGAACCCGCGACGGCTGGCACAGCAAGTAGGGTCACTGCAAACTGAGCCAAACGTATCGTTAATTATATAAGAGAAGCTATTTTTTTCTATTGTATTACTCATTATTATTAGGTACAGCAAAAGTGAATGCCAGTCGAAGGATGGGTGACAATAAAAACAAAGTAAATGTAGTGACACCAGAATGGCTTTGGACTTGTGCTGAGCGCTGGGAGCGAGTCGATGAGCGACTATACCCTCTGCAACGAGGTGGACAGGTACTGATATCTTTAAAATAATCTTTTACTATACTAACAAATATATTATTCTTAAAATAAAAACTATGCAAATATATTTTTATATATTTTGCTTAGTTGTAATATTATAGTAAGCACTGGGTCTCGCTTCTCCATCTATACAGATAAATAAAATTGAAGTGTCTGTTTGTTATGTCAAAATAAAAGCTTTTTACTAAATACATATGGAATTATATATGTTACTAAAACAACTAGCGATTTTGTAAAACAGCGGATTCGACAATCTATCTGTGACATATATTTACATACAGCTTTACTCATGTTACTAAGTTGCTAAGCAGATTCAAATAGAATATAACAAGTAATATGAACAAGTGTATGTGTAGAGCAGCGCTCGCCGGCCTCCCGCTCACTGCAGCAGCCCGCCACCGCCGCCGCTGCGCAAGCGCACGCCCTCGGGCCGCTTCATGGACACCATCAACCCGCTGCTGTCCTTCTCCAGTGATGACATCGCTGATATGGACAGAGAGGTACACCTTGTTACTATACTTATCATAATACATCTTCTTGTTCTCGCACTGGTTTGCCCGTTGTACGTGAGCTTGTGCTACTTCTTGTGTTATACTTTCTACCCCAGGGCGTCCCAGTAATCTAGCAGGTTGCCGGTTTTCTAGAAGATCATAATATAATCTGCAGTGTGTGTTTGTGTGTCTGTATGATTTTTAAATTTCGCACTAAAACGACTGGATGGATTTGTAGGAAACTTATGCCCAGTTCACATTATTCCAGTCCAGTAATCCACCAGATCATTCCAGTCTAGCGCTGGACTAGATTAGGTCGTTTACATTATTACAGTCTTTTAAAAGCTTTTGAATTGATAACACTAGAGACAATGATTTTCAAGAAAGGGGTACGAAATTTGTTTTAAAACTGTTCAATTACTACTATTAGAATAAATAATTAATATAGTGGAAGAACAGATTTTAGTGAGAAATTGGATAAGCAAAAGAAATATAAAAGGAGGCTCAAGAATGCTTTTGCGACAGAATTGTTATGATTAATTTCAAATAATATTCAACGTAGAGACCCGTTATTCAGAGACGCTATATCTGCAAAAATAAGTTTTCAGTTAACTTCACTTTTAGGAATTAGAACTACAACAATTTGTGTTCCCAAGAAACAACAATACATATTACAACAATTTGTGTTCCCAAAAAACAACAATACATGTTCACTGTTCAACGTTTAATCCAGTACTGGATTGGCCATCTACACTGATTGAAAGGAAAGTAGACCGTCAATCCAGTCACAACCGTTGAAGTGTGAACACTACAGTGACAATGATTTCAAGAAGAGATCAGTTTCGAAAATGTTTCAAACATGCTCTTGCTACAAGAAGTTATTAATGAGGTTGATAAGGAACTAAGAAAAAAGGAACGGATTTGGGTGAAAAATTGGATCAGCGAAAGAGATCAAAAAAGAGGATCAGTAATGTTTTTGCAACAACTGAAGTTAGAAGATCCCACTGTATATAGACTCATTGAGAATGACATCAGAAAACTTTGAGGCACTGTTATCATTAGTTTCAATTAATATTCAACGTAACAATACATTGCCGTGGCATTCCAGCGCTGATTTCGATCGCTAGTCTGCAATGCTACTGGAATAATGTGAACCACGCTTTAATTAATAATTAAAAATATATTGTTAAACTTACTTCTTGTATGAGCCCTAATAATAATAAAATATTTTCAGTTTGTTGCTTATTCTTAATTTTAATATTTTAGGTGGAGGACATATTCAATGAATCTGATGAAGATTCAACAGATGATGAGAAAAAACCTCAAGATGATGTTGATGATGAAGAAAACATGTCTGAAGATAGGCTTTTAAGTCTAGAAACAATCAAAAGTTCCCAAGACAGGTAAACTTTAGATTATTAAAGATTTTTTTTTTTTTGGAACATTAACACACAGCACCATCTAGTACCATGGTAAGCTACGAGGCTTGTATTATGAATACCAGATAGTTGATACACTACACATATATAAACTTTAAATACATACATATTATTAATATAAACACCCATGACTGGAGTACAAGCATTCATGTTCATCACACAATGAATGCCCCTAGCGGGACTCGAACCCGCGACCGCTGACACAGCAAGTAGGGTCACTACACAGTGGGCCAAACGTGTCGTCAATATATTTTATATATTAGTAAATGAAGCAATTTATTCCTTACCAAATTTCATCAAAATCTGTTCAGCTTTTTAAAGATCAAACAGATTACACATAGTTACTTTCACATTTCTAATAGTTGAGTTTATTATAATATATAAAAATAATTTTAATTGTATTAAGTACTTTATATTATAATGTATATATAATAGTATTAAATACTTTAAAAATATAAAAAAAAGACATTTTAAGTCTAAATCAAAAGTAAGAACGAAGTAGATAAGATACTAGGATTTAGTTGTTTGATTATTTACCAGTTACAAATTGCAGTTTGTATTTTTATGTTAATTGAGTTCAAGTTATGAGGTTCACTTAATACTTTCTTAGATTTACGCGAATACTTGTCATTTTAAATAAAACTATCTTTTCGGATTTTTTCGCGAATTTATTTTGATTTTTGGTTCCCGATGTTTCGAATGCTTTACAGCAATCATGGTCACGGGAGAGACTAAGGTGTTAGACTTACATTTTATTTCTGCTAAATGTTAAGATTAATAATATAAATTAAAGAATTTAATAATAAAAATATTTTGTGGGACAGGTTACAAGAAAAAGATGAAGATGAACACTCAAGTGATTCCAATACAGGTATATTAAATATTTTTTCTTTATGGTAAACTTATTGATGTTTGTTGTCTTATATTTTGTTAATTTTTCTTAATTATTTTAAAAAAAATGTAACTAAACGTCTTGTGACCAGATATTATTTGTTTTATATTTAAAGAGCATTTTACATTATCATATAATTCTTCAATAAAAAATTAATACTATTTTATGAGAAAATATCCTTGTATGCCTATGTGTTACTCCAGGTTATAGTGTATATCTGTGTACTAAAATTCATCCAAATCCTAGCCATTTTGATGTCAACAAGTAAATAGCATAGTATTTATAACCTAACTGGACTACTTACATTTTAACGTTTAGTATCTATTTCTCAAAGATGAGATCTTTTCTCGCTGTAAAAAGTATCCTATATGTTGACCTGGATAAACAGCTATCATCATACCAAATTTCATCAAAATCCCTCCAGTGGTTTTTCAGTGATATGCGGTAACAGACAGACAGACAAAAATTCTAAAACTATAGATTTGGCCTCTATATAGATAATAAAGTCTATTTCAATAAGATTTTCCAAAAAATATTTAATGTACAGATATGGCTTAGTTACAATTTTATTTTATGTATAGATATGTAAGTAAAACTTATTTTTCTCAGAAGATGGTGAGAGACCTAGAAAGAGGCCAAAACCTTCAACACCCACATCCGATGATGATGACAGTTCATGGAACCTCATGGGTGCGGCCCTTGAAAGAGAATTTCTTGCACAGGACTGATGCCGACATCCTATTGTACAAATTCTATTTCCTCATGTTAATAAAATAATGTCTTTTAATTTTGTTATTTTATTTTAATTCCTTAATTTCAATACAAAGAAAATTTCAAATTAGGTTTAGGTAAATAAAAGTTTTTTTTTAATTACAACTACCTTTATAGCTACTTAATTATCACTAATGATTAAATTGCATAAGGATCATTATTTTCATCAAAAACATGAAATTTGGTATATGTTGGTTTAGATGTAAAGTCTTTCTTTCCATCTTGCCATCCTCTTGGAGGTGCAGATTTATAATCGAAACTTGATTTTAATTTTCCATATATTTCGGTCTGTCTTTCAATGTCTTCTCTATATCTTTCTTTAGCTACTTTTTTTCCAGTAACGGGATCGGTTACATCTCCAAATGGATAAACTACTTCTTTGACTTCATGTGTTATTAGTTTTGTCAATTTCTTTGGCAAGGCTTGTATAAGTACAATATCTCCAGTTTTACATTTCTTGTTCGGGTCGTGACAGTAATAAAATTCATCTTTTCTGAAGTACTGAAATAAAAAATTAAATCAATTATTTTTATACATGTTACAAAAAATATGTAATAAAATATAATCCTGGATCAAATTATTGAATTAATACAAACCATTAACAAATTTTCATCTAATTCTAACCTCTTCACTCGAATTTTTGTAGCATTTTGTTTAACAGTAGGAATACATTGACCTAGCAATAAAAATTTTCTAGCAGCTTCAGAAATATTTCGAGACATTTTGAAAAGACCTCTATTTATATGTATTTAATAATAAATTATTTAATTTAGCGCAGATTCTATTATTTGATACCATGGATTTGACATTGAATTTGACATAAGGCAAGCACTACAACACAGAAAAAATATTTCTTTATGACAGCTAAAACATTGGTAGATATAGAAAAATATTTCAAATGTTAGATATTGCGTTCTTTTCGCTATAAAATATGTTTTTCGAGCTACATAAAGAGCTTTTTGAGTGGTAGTATTTTTTTAACATTTAAACGGGCTATATTATAGTTAGAGGATGTTTCATACTTTCTATAAGGAAACGCCTTGGTGGTCTAGTGGCTAGCATGTAAAGTCGTAGATCCGGCGTCAAGTGAGAAGCTCGGACTTGGAAGTTGGCGGTATTTTACTCCCGTGTCTTAGAGAACACTAACGCCATCCTGCACCCAGAATGGGCAGCGCCACACGTGTGGCCTATTTACATTCAGTCCGAGGTTAAGCAATTTATTGTGATATCTCTTATATACCTAGTTTTAAATATAAGAAATATATTATTTATTTGATTTTCATCGAAATTCACCCCATATACGGTTAAAAGTAGGTAATAATTATTTAAGATCAGAATTACTTGAAACTTGGTAACCTTGGCTCTTCAATACAATTAAATAAATACATGTTTTAGCACTTTTCAAAATTCAATCCCTTAAGGGGGTAAAATAGGTGATGAACGTTTGTATGAAACTCTATAATTAACTTTTAAAAAAGTACAAATATATATATTCATCTGTAGACGATTTAAGATTTTTAAAATTACTTTGTTTAAAATGATGTCCACATAGCCTTAAATATAAAGATTGTTATATCGCCAAATTTGCTTGTCTTATATAATAAACTTGCTTATATAATTAACTTATAGCTTTAGCCCACAGTTTTTCAGTTTTTGTCTTTAACAAACAAATTATACATTTTCTTTATTTCCTGGTACTGCACGACTTGTCATTTTCATTAAATTTTAAATAAAATGATGAAAAAATACACGATATAGAACTTTACTATATACTGAAGGCAAAAATGATAGCGACATCTGGCGGGAGAAAAAGGAAAAATTCTTCCCCATTATTTCAAAATAAATAAACTTAAAACTAAGCTACTTATTACATTTTGTGGAGCCAGAAGCAGTTTTGTCATATGTTTATTTGATAAATAGAAACATAAGTACTTTATAATCTTGATTTTTTATTTAGACCTTTTACAAATTTATAACAAAAACCAGATAAAAGATTAGATATCAGATATCTATAGTAGTAAAAAGTTCCAATTATGGTAATAAAAGCTAGTATATATAACATGTATCATAAAGATAGGCAAAGAATAATAATAACAAATTAAACGACAATAAACCAAAAATAACAACATTATAATATTTCACACAAAAATATCCCAATTAATATAAGTAATTGACTTACATAATAAAATAAATGAAACAATATACTTATTTCTCTAAATTACAAGATATATAGAAAAACCTAAAAACACACCATATATGAAATTAGAATTTAAGGAATTTTTATACAGTCTAGAGTAAACCAAACCATTTTCAGTCTTTAAAAATATAATACAATAAATATTTAAGCAGGCACTAATTTTGTGATTGGTTGAACCATTGTCACTAATGCAGCTACAGAAGAAACTGCACCTAAAGCCCCTATAGCACTTGGACTTAATCTTGTAAAACCCAACGCTGTCAATGGAATGAAAAGGTCACACGAATTCTTCAATGTATCAATAAATATATCCTTATGACAATTCATGATTGTGTAACAATGTTTCATACTGGTTTGTAAATTGAATTGTTTTATAGAATTGTTTAATAAGCCTGAAGGTTGTAAAAACATATTTCTATTTAATTCCAAGATGTGTAGAATTTCATATAAATCTCTTGCTAAATTTGCAATAATGGATAAGAGCCAAAATTTATTTGCTGTTCTATTCCAGTTATCAGAGTCAGTTTTAAGAAAGCCACTTTTTGTAAGCCACACTATATGATCAGCATACAAATACAATGCATGCGCTATTTTGCTCACTGTCAATGATAGTCGTAAAAATGTATCTTCTATATTCATAGTATTTAATGCCAGGTAACATATATCAATGCATCTTCCCAATCTCAAAACTGGAAAAAGAAAAAGGTATATATATTAAATATTATAGAGATTGTTTGAACATGCTAATCTCAGGAACTACTAATCCAATTGGAAAAACTTTTTATGCATTAGATAGCCTGTTTATTGCTGAAGGTTATAGACTATATATCATCAACCCAAGAGAGAGGACCAGTAGTATAATATAATATTAGTCTATTTATTTCATAGTAAACATTAAAATGTAAACCTAGGAATGAATCCAAGCGAAGCGAGAGTGAGTCACTCGTTACTTTATTGTGTAATAAAATAATACATGGCAATTACATTCAGCAGGATATAAATTATAAATTATAGTACATTTATAACAACATTTCATTTTACATGAAAAATTCCACAAATCATTGCAGAAGAAATGTATTGAAGAATTATAAGTATTACCTTTTCTAAAAGAACTCAAAGTATTTTCCAAACTCTTGATTCTATCGATTGAGTATTTATTCGCATTTCTAGATTCAAGTTGATGCCACAACAACCGACTAGTGTACTGGAATAATCTAAAATAAGAGCAATCACAAAAATAAACACTATGTATTACACATATTAAAGTCTAAATTTTATTGTTTTTGACACATGCATATTTTAAAATATTACATTTGATTTACATTTTTAATTATTTACATTGTAGAAAGATAATCTTTACTGACCTTGCAAGTTTATCTCTTCCATTAGACTGATTATTTACTTTTATAACAATATCCATTTTATTCCAAGTTTTTATGGTATGCTTTATTTATAAGAATTCTATTACATTTATCCTTATAGGTAAATGAACTGTATAAAAGCCCTGAATCAATCCTAAGTGAAGGAGGAAAATAATATAGGAAAAATGCTTTAAAAATAATAGAAATCACATATTATGTTACCTATAGTTTATTATTTGGTAAAACTAGTTTGGTATATCTTCTATTCTCAGTAAATTATATTATACATAATATCTGGTACTTTTTTTTTAAATATTGAGTAATGAAAAAAGACGATATGCTTATCAACATATGAGTATTCATATTACTAAAAACAATTATTTTTATTCTATAAATATACAAAACTAAAATTATCATAAGCTAAAGAATAAACAAGAAGAATAAAGTATTCTTATTGCCATTCTAATCTGAGATTGTTTATTTAGCAATTAAAATCGTGATTTACAATACAAACAACATACTTTTAACGAAATGTTAATTTAAAGTGAAGTAATTACTCATGAAATTTAACTTTACCTTATAATAATGTTTACAAAATCTTCACTTTCACTTAAATAAATTGATATTTTCGCTTCATTAATATTCAACGAATAAACGATAGTCGATAAACATGTATCTATTTGGTGTTTAATATCATGTTCTTGGTCTCTGTTTACTATAGTCTGTTTTTTAATTTCAGAGACTAAATTGACATATGCAAATGTCAAATTTATAATTAATGCTGCCAGCTCTTTTGGGCGGTGTTGTACCTACGACACCGGTTTGTTGAATCGTACCTTTTTATATTTATTAAACGATTCGCTTCAAAGTTTTATAATCCAAAGTGTATCATTAAAATTCACATTATTAATTCTAAATCCTTATATATCATATTTATTAAATTTAAATTATTAAGTATCATTAAAATCTCTTACAAAAATAATATGAAATATAAAGTTATATAATTTTATTACAAAACAAACAATGTGAAACAAGCCGAAAATGTGTAATATTTTTAGTAGGCAACATTGTTACTGTAAAATTGTATTTGTGGTAGCCCGTATTTGCCTAATGCCTATTTCAACAAGCTTCTATCGGTATCGTCCATTTTGAATACTCCTAAGTTAAATTTCGTAGCGTTTCTGCTTAAAATTCATGTTTACTGTGTTGATTGTTCTATAATTTAAATTATTAGTTATTATTTTTATTTGTGAAGGTGCTATTACCGCAGAATAGTGGCTTTCACCTTTATTTTGTTTTTGGTAAGACTTCGTATTGTGAAGTGTGATTAATTTTTTTCTGGAACAAGACGACATTTTGAAGTGACGTGTAATGTTGTGCATTTCAGATAGTGGTTCACCATACTGAGCTTACATGATTGGATTACCGCGTAGCGATAGAGATAGAGATCGTATAACGGTGAAAATTCGTAATATGAAGAGAAGTTCGTCCAGAGATAGCATGCCGCGTTCTAAAAGAACGCGTAGTAGCATAGGAAGGTATGACGACAGCTCCGATGAGCGCGTTACACCAGAAAGGGTGCGCCGGCGAGTGCGTTCGCCAAGTCCCCGCGGTCGATATGTGTCACCTCATCGTGATGATTATGTTCGGTCACGAGAGGTACGAGAGGAATCCGCGCGACCCTATTATAAGGTTTTATGTGTAAGTGCTTTGCATCCCAAGGCTTCTGACGACATTGTGAAAGATACATTGTATAGGGAGTACAAAAAATTTGGTGATTTTAGTATTAAGATTTCTCATGAATTAGATGAACGCGTCGCTTATGTATGTTTCCGTAGTGCTGAAGATGCAAGAGATGCAAAACATGCCAAGCCGAGGATTATTCTTTATGATAAGGTAGCAATTGTCGATCCTGTATATGAGCCAGTACGCTCTGAGTATAGAAGCAGACCTAGAAGTATAAGTCCACCTGATTATGATCGTCCTTATTCTTATGCCTGGTCTCCGGTACCCGAAAGACGCAGACCACCACCAGATGATAGGGCTTATGGCATACCTCCCACTGTTCCCCCACACCATAGGGATTTTCGACCTCCTATGCACGAATATCCAATGGCAGGGCCTCATGGACCTCCAATGCATCATCGCCCACCTATGCATCATCCCCCACATCCTCATTATATGCCCAGGCCATACATGCCTCGACCACATCACCCACCTTTTGAGAAAATTGAAAATAAAAAAGACAAATTTCCTAATTATTTGCACCATGTTCAACCAGAAGATGATCCTTTGGCCACAAGGACTTTGTTTGCTGGAAATTTAGAGATTAATATATCTGATGAAGAGCTACGCAGAATTTTTGGCCGCTATGGTATAGTAGAGGACATTGATATAAAGCGGCCACCTCCAGGCACAGGCAATGCTTTTGCCTTTGTAAGATACCAAACCTTGGATATGGCACACAGAGCTAAAGTTGAATTGTCTGGTCAGTATATAGGCAAATTCCAATGTAAAATTGGTTATGGCAAGGCTACTCCTACGACAAGAGTGTGGGTTGGTGGCTTAGGTCCATGGACATCAGTCGCACAACTTGAAAGAGAATTTGATAGATTTGGAGCTATAAAGAAAATTGAATATGCTAAAGGTGAACCCCATGCATACATTTTGTATGACTCAATAGATGCAGCACAAGCTGCCGTAAAAGAAATGAGAGGTTTTCCTTTGGGTGGTCCTGAAAGGCGACTTAGAATTGATTTTGCAGATGTAGGTACAGGAGGCCCATACAGACCAAAACCTTATGCAGCACCAGTAGGTGAAGAGGGAAGAGCTGCTGAAGGATATGAAGGGTATGAGGGAACTTGGGATGATGGTTATGGCTATGGTGGATCTGGATACAGAGGTAGGGGTGGCCATCGTGGGCGCGGTCGTGGAATGTATAGAGGTGTTTACCACGGTACTGGTGATTACAGAGATGAAGAATGGAGAAGGGCACCTGATAGCGAGTATGAAGGACGTATTCGTCGATCTGGCTCCCGGGAGCCAGGAGTTGACAGATCACGTTCACGTTCTCCACGACGTCGCTCGCCTGACAGTGATTCAGATGGTTCTCCTCGCAGAAATGGTGGAATGCTTGCATCTGCTAGAACTTTACCTGAAGTTGTACGTAAAGCTACAACAATATGGAATGGTGCATTGATCCTTAAAAACTCACTATTTCCCACTAAATTCCATCTGACAGATGGTGATTCAGAAATTATTGACAGTTTGATGAAAGATGAGGAAGGAAAAAATCAATTAAGAATAACACAAAGACTTCGACTTGATCAGCCTAAGCTGGATGATGTTCAAAAAAGAATAGCAACATCAAGTTCTCATGCAATCTTCTTGGGTGTGGCTGGATCTACAGCTTCTGTAACCAATGAAGATACTAGCATTCAAACAAGACCTATGAGAAATTTGGTTTCTTATTTGAAACAGAAAGAAGCTGCTGGAGTTATTTCCCTTTTAAACAAAGAAACTGAGGCAACTGGTGTTTTGTACTCATTCCCACCATGTGAATTTTCTACAGACTTACTTAAGAGAACTTGTCACAATTTGACTGAAGAAAGTTTGAAAGAAGACCATTTGGTAATAGTGGTGGTGCGAGGAGGTTCTGCTTAAAACAACTAATATTATTTCCTAAATAGACAAGCCTAGATTAAGATTTTATAAATCCTATAACATTTTCAAATATATAAACATTTTTATTATATACCTAATTCTTGTGACGTGTAGTGTTATCGTGAGGTGATTGTAAACATAGTTTAGTGAAGGGTCACTAATTCATTATTCATATGTGCAAGTGCTGTGTCTGTCACAGTTGTAGTGTAAAGCAATAATTTATATTGCCAGTTAATAAGTTTATTATATAAAAATTAGTTTTTGCTAGAGCAACTGAATTGTGTACTATTTAACAGTTTAAAGTGTATACTTAATCAGTGTATGGTAGGTGATGTGTAGTGTGTGTGAACACAAATAGATAATTTTATTTGACGTTGTAGTTTTTTTACACCTTGTGAGCTAGTGAATGGAAAGTGCAGTTAAAATTAGTGAATGATTTGTGCTCAAATATTAGTGCAGTAATATAAAGGCAAATGTAAAGACTACCTTAGACTGATTGGGGGTAAATAAAAAAAAAGTAAATTTTAAAGTGATACTACTTACATGTCTAGTGAGATTATGTGTTAGGTTTTATTAACCTGCTGTGATGTGGTTGTGATGTGTTCTTAGCTCTGAGTAAGTAGTCATAATTAATGTTGAACACTTAAAAGTATTATTCAAATTGACATTCTATCAAGACTGAAATAATTTAATGGTTCATTTTTACAAGGAATTTTATTTTCATTAAATTATCACACTTATCTAACAATATTTAAATATATTATTCAGTTTCTACTCTATCATAAAAAGAAATATGAGTGTGTTTTATTTTTATTAAAAAGAAATATCTAACGGAATTGGAACACTGAACTACCCAATTCTTTTTTATTTTTTAACTACTCATTGAACTCGACTCAGGTTATAAAAATATGTAGTTATAATTTTTAAATCTATATTTGAAATTTCAATTTTACTCACATTTTTACGTACAAAATATGGTGGAGATGAGAAACTGAGAGTCTAGCACTTTTGGAGGGTAAGTATTAAGGTGAGTAAATCTATTTCAATGTTATTTGTAGTCAAATTATTACATATTTCTTGACATCTTTCTAATGTAATCAACAATATTGAAAAACATATTAGTATATTCACAATTACAAATTAGAACAGAAGTGGATTGAAAAATAAATTTTTAATTTTACTGGTTTATTGCATGCTAAAGAATACTTACATATAATGATTTGTTTGTTTGTCTTGTTTTGAAAGTACAAACATTTTGATGTTTTTTTTAAAACTGATATAAATCTTTTTTGTATAAGTTTTATTCATAATTAATATTCCTAACATCTTAAAATATATGTTTACTTACTTTAATTTTCTTCATTACAGTTTATTCATGAAGTGATCTACAGTCAACAACCCTATTTTTATAGTGATAGTTTAAAATTGTGGTAAAAAATAAATTAGATAGGTACTATAAATAATCTTTTTCAATTAATAACCTTTAAGTTTATATCGATTTTTTATGTGTGTAGGTATGTTACGCAATAGCCCACGTCAAACGATTTCGTACCTTTTTATTTAAAGGATTTAAGGATGAACTAATTCCTTTTAAAAGTAATTTTGACATGGATTTACTTTTTTGTTTTAAAAGTAATAAAAACCAAAATAAAAAATGAACAATTGAATAAAATGTTGGTAACTACTGGTTGAAAACGATCTTGTTATTGTTGAACTTGTCACTTGAAAATATCTAGAATAAATAGTGAGTTCCAATAATTCTTTGTGAAAATGTTGGAATTTACAGAAGATTTTGATAAAGAAAATCCAAATATTAATAAAAGTGGGAAATATTTATATAGTAAATATGTAGCTATATACCTTTTTGGTTACTAATTTTCTAATACAACTTTAATATAATAAATGCGAAAATATAATACTTTCTTAGATTTACGCGAATATTTGACATTTTAAATAAAACTATCTTTTCGGATTTTGTCGCGGATTTATTTGTATTTTTGTTTCCCGACGTTTCGAATGCTTTACAGCAATCATGGTCACGGGAGAGACTGAGGTGTTAGATGTCTCTAAGGTATTATATAGTTGTTACAGACAGCCTACCCACAATTAACAAAATGAATTCAAAAAATTGAAAAATGGCACTAAAGAACCTTACAATATTTTAACTTTTAACTTTAAACATTTTTATATAATTTTAATTAGCTTTATAATTGAATATAGAATATTATTTATTTAATTTGAGCTGTTATTATTATAATTATTACTATTTATTAATGTTATAAATTTTTAAAGTTAAAAGTTAAAATATTGTAAGGTACTTTAGTGCCATTTTTCAATATTTTGAATTCATTTTGTTAATTGTGGGTAGGCTGTCTGTAACAACTATATAATACCTTAGAGACATCTAACACCTCAGTCTCTTCCGTGACCATGATTGCTGTAAAGCATTCGAAACGTCGGGAAACAAAAATACAAATAAATCCGCGACAAAATCCGAAAAGATAGTTTTATTTAAAATGCGAAAATGTTTGTGGGTTTGTATTTCTAATAGCAACGGTGATGTAGCAGTAGTAGCATGCGGATGGACTCAATTTTTTCGATTTGCCAATTACTATTAATGGACTATAAAAACAACTGCCTCATAGGTGTTACCTATCTAGGTACTATTTCGAAGATGATAGAATCAATTTCTTAAACAGACATAGCCTAATTACGATTACCTTTAGACTGCTACTCGGGAATCGCGGTGCAACCTACATAGCTCTAGTACTTCATATTGGAAAAAACTAATATATTTTTTTATAGATATTGATACAAAATATAGATAAATTGATAGAGATAGATCCTCTAAAATATATGATGAGAGTACGAGAAGATAAAAAAATATAATTCAAACAAGAATAAATCACTCTTTAATATATTATTTATATCTATACTAATATTATAAATAAATATGTCAGGACATTAACACACGACACCATCTAGTTCCATGGTAAGCTACGAGGCTTGTGTTATGGATACCAGATAGTTGATACATTATACATATATAACTTTTAAATACATACATATTATAAATATAAACACCCATGACTGGGGTACAAACATTCGTGCTCATCACACAAATGAATGCCCGCAACGGGACTCGAACCCGCGACCGCTGGCGCAGCAAGTAGGGTCACTACAAACTGAGCCAAACGTGTCGTCAAAATAAAGAGGTAAAGTTTGTGACGTTGTAGGGGGTAAACTCTGGATCTACTGAACCGATTTAGATGAAATTTGGTAAGAACATAGTTTGAGACCCTGGGAAGAACATAGGATATTTTTTTATTCCGGAAATCGTGTCTTAAGGGAGTGAAAATGGGGAAGAAAGTTTGTATTGGAAGCAAGCTAGGAACGAACCCGAGCGAAGCGAGGGTGAATCGGCTATAAGTAATAAATAGAAAGTCCAGTTTTTCATAGTATTTGCTCATATTCCAACTCGAGTAAAACTTAATGAACGATCAGAGCCCCCCCGCACTAGGCAGCCTGGCTGCGGCAGCCAAATAATTCAGCAGCCAGATATAGCAGCTATATTGGCGACGGCCAGTTGGGATGATCCCGTCAAGCGATATGGACATAGAAGATTTAATTATTAAGTCGTATATACATTTTTGTAAGCTTTATATAACACCCTTTATTTTGATACCCCTCGGTAGGTTTTGATAAAAAAATTTTTGGAGACATATTATGGCGTCAAATATCGGTAATTTTAATTTTTATAATTTTACAAAGTGTCACTATCACAATTATGTCGAATCTAACTGCACCTCTCAATGTTTAGCTTGATGGATTTTAATTTTTAACCTATCAAGCCGTTTAGGCTCCAGAGCGTGCCTAAGAAATATACATACATACATATTATGTACATATATTATATACACATATTATAAGCCTATCTGCAAGCTTTGAAGCGGCTTCACCGGCAGTATATCTGTGTCGAGTTGACGTCACCGAGGGAGAGCCAGAGATCGGCAAATTAAAGCGTTGTAAGTACAGAAAGCGATTTATCAAAGGGACAACCTAGTTCTCCTGGGTGTTTATATATTATTTATAACTGGCCAAACTGATAAATTAGGGGTATTTTTTTAATACTAGTGCTAGACCTTTTAGTTTGGGAGTTTTTATTTAACTTATTCTTAAACCTTAATACAGCGCCATCTATTTTATGAAAGACAATAGGTACGCCATCAAGGAAATCAAATGGTATCCGCACTACAGAATGGGGTGAACGGATTTTAAACATATGTATCTTGAACTGTTCAGTTTTAATAATAAATTTAAATATAATTCGAAACACGATTATAAATTATTCTATTTTTGCATTGTGTTTAATGGAGAATTTTATGTATTAGTAATTATAAAAAAATAAGTAAAATATAACAAAAATATGAAAGAACTATTAAAATATCTCAACAAATGAAAAAGTTATAAAACTTTAATTTTAGCTTGTTAATATTAGTGTTAGTATCGGTGTCACTTCTGGTAACTCGGACAAGATTTCTTCAGTTAATATACAATTGACTTCTATTCTTCTTGTCTTATAACAATGGAGGAACTGAAAGTAAATTATCATTCAGTGGTATTATTTATATTATAGTGGCTCTCAATTAAGGTAATTGTGTCTTTGGTCTAGAACCCTAGTGGTTAAATTGTACAAGCTGCAAATCCGTAGGTCCTGGATTCAAGTCGGGGTAGAGCCTAGTATAGTAAATTGGCTTTTCATCTATCAAGAAAGTCTCATTAGCATCCCAGAATTGAGAAGTTGACGGTGTCACATTCCCGAGCCTCTTCTATTTCCAACTTCTTACGCCTGATCTCTTATCGCGATTGTTAATATTGTCGATCGTCAGTTACTGATGATCAAAGGAATAACCAATAAAATCGCACTGTGCACAGTTTTTTATGTGCGTACACTTGTGCACAATAAATAGCACATAGCTAATTTCAGTGAGATTGGC